ACAATGGTCGCGAGATGCTAGCAGTATCCAATCAAATAGTCCTGCGCACGACTTTGAAACCTTACGTGGCCGCACTTCGATTAAGAGGGGTGGCTGGTTGAGCGCCGACGCGTGATAGCTGCTGCGCATTCCACCAACCCTTTGTCCTCCTCTCCCGCCCGCTGATTCATCGGTTCTGCCGTCGTAAGTGGTGCGATGGCTGCAATGCCAATTCTTTTACTCGTTCTTGCAATGCTCCCCTTCAAAGGCTGCCGCCAACGCCGGTGGGAGATGAGTAAAGAAGAGAGAGATGTAGATGTTGATGGTCAAAAGATACCCCTGAGTGACTGATCAGAATGCCTCCGTGGGTGTGTATGTGGAATATTGGCAGAAGTCTAATTATTTAGAGGTTCAGATCACATCAGTTCTCTACAGCTGACTAAAATGTGAATGGATCTGTTCGGGATTTATCTAAATATCTCAAAACACCAAATGCACGCAGCTTTTATAATAAAAGTCAAAGGACGTTAATTGTGAACTGGCGAGAACTTGTGGAAAGTGAAGAAGGTGGGCAAAACTTAGCCCTACCTCCGCAACCTTCAGTTCACTCACGTTATTAAAATTATTTTAGCTCCATTTGGACAGCTAAGGTGCTTTGTTATATCATGTTCTTGGGTAATATTTTTTGCTTTTATAGGACGGTTTAACTTTTGTAATCACAGGCTAAATCGTCACGTACCTCCTTCGTGCATAGACTTCGTAATCATGTGGCCTTTTCAAGATGGCAGATTAAGTGGTCTCGTAAATCTTAATTTTCCCGCACACTGAACTTTTTTGCATGCATTCATCTAACTATGACGAACTGGCTGCTATTATCATTTCAGCCTCCTAGAACGAGCTTTAGACCTACCGCTTCTGAAGCAACAAGCAAAGAGCGCGAGGTTTATTCCTAACTTTATTCTTCTTACTAGAAAGAGTGCAGCTTTACGTTTCCTAATTGGACACACAGGAGGATGACACAGATTATAAACATGGCGGTCATCTTAGGCGACCGGCCGACTTAACAAGGCACATGGTCGAATGTTTTCCAGTCACTTAAATTTTAAACTTCGCAACTTACGTTAACTCATCAAAGTCGTTTCGTTAGCGCCAGTTCTGACAACTTAAAATTAAAAATCAAGTAGTAATACTCGTATGACGCAAACGCAATTTAGAACGAGCACAAACCGCAGTACGCGTTTCCAAAGGCAGATGAAGTGATCGTCGATTTACTGCGCCAGAAAACCTTCTGTGGACCGGTTTATCGCTCGGATAGTAGACTCATATCGCTTTAGACTTCCCGGTTTAGAATGCCATCTGGCAACATAAAAAGAATTGATGCCCAAGTAGTTGAGACTGCACACAATCAGCCCTCGAGTAGGCCAAGTCCGACTTTAAGTCAGCCTTTAATGTAAGGTTTTGTTAGTGACATCCGTTCTTCATGTAAATTCCTAGAGAGCCGGAGGCTTGTACCGAAGAGGTGGCAGATAAATGGAAGTTTTTTAGACAATCTCTTGAAAATTGGGTTCAAAGAAACTTATCCAACATGAAAGTTCCCGGCAGAAATGAAAGAATACGCAATGTACCAAAATCAAAGAACCAAGTTCAAAGATATTTCATAAGGCTGTAAGTTCGAGCGAGAGAAAAATAGTCACAAAGGTAACTGGCAAATCTGTAGCTGTACACGGCACATTGTCTACTTGAGTACAGCATCTCTCTCAAGGTGTAAATTTTTGCTCATCCCTAACTGTGCACGCTCCGTTTCCAGAACATACATACAGAGAAATGTGGATAACTATAGGTGCCTCAGTCAGGCTTGAATACTCAGAGTGCGGTTTAATTTTTGTTAACCTTTGGGCGGCGTTTCAAAATCATGAGTTACTTGCTAAATAATCAATTTTTATATTTAGACTACAAATGGCCGTAGCCGCGTACTTTGATTTGTCCTTCGAATTTACTCGTTGTTGCTATAAAACAGTGGTTTATTCACATATCGGAGACACCCAAAACATACTGCAGATTAAAGGCGTGCTTTATTGGTAGCTTCTTACGAGNTTGTACGAGTAGAGGTGGGCTGCCCACTGCCCGCATAAGGGCTAATAAAAGTATTAAACTTCTAACGAAACACTTTTTCAATTCCAAAATTACATATGGGCATAAAGTTAACCTTCCTTTAATAAATACCATATACTCCAAAGTTGTCTTGATGTTTGATTTGTGATCGACTGCAGTCGTCTCTGAATTTTTTTGCAAGTTAAATATTACAATTGCCGCAAAATATAGAATTTATCGCGAATTTATTAATGAGTTTTACTGATCAGTTTTGCAGCGACTTACGAATCAGGCTCTTCAAGATGAAGGGATTAATTTTTCCAAAAGTGATTGGGCTGTCCTGATCTTTCCTGGTCAAATTTATACGAGTAAAAGGGGAAGCTTTAGATCTGGCAATGATTAATTTTGTAAGCACGTTTCAGTTAAAATGATGTTAGCGACTGGGAAAATAGGCAAACATTCAAATGTAATTTAAAGATATATCTTAGCCCAATCACGTGTCAGTATATTGTAGCTTAATTTCTATTTAGAAACGTAATGTTTTTCTTCAGTAAAATAATTTTGAAATACAAATGTTCGGCCTAATGCAGCTGCAACTTCAAATATTTTAAGTATGCTTTGTCCTCGTACATGCAGTTGATTCCATACAGGCAACGAAAGCCAAAAAAACACATTCGAAATACACAGGTACCTACAAAATCTGGCGTTTGTTTTAAGCAGCTAACATTCTACATTACCGTAAGTGACTTAGAATTCCCTTCGCTACCGATAAATTTTGTAAGATAGCTTCAGTATTCCTTGGCAGTGCATCAAAAACCCGTGTCAATATTTTGTGAACTTTGGCACGCGCTCGATGTTCATTCGGTTGCTGAGAGGGGACAGAATAACATTCAACTCTTTTCCTTGCTGAATTAATGATAAAGAACAAATTATGGGGAGCATGTGAAAAGATGCTATCAGTGACTTAATACGAAAGATCAGGCATTCGCACTTTGAATTGGTCTTCAGCCCTAGACTCGAGAAATTCAATTAATTGCTTCTAATAGTAGTGAGCATGTTTTATTTAATGAAGTTTTAAATATTCAGGTGCATTTAGTCAAATGTATGGAGTTAAATTCTTTCCAGTCATAGAAAAAAGACTCCTAGTACGCGAAAAACCACATAAGTAAACATAAAATGGGAGGCGGCGATTGCAGTATCTCCACTTTATCAGCACTAACCAAACGTCACTTAAATATAAAGGCGAAGAAACAAAACAAATCCGACTGAGACATTTTATTAAGTGCGGTCAAAAACAACATTCAACTTTGCAAATGAAATCCATCAGGGTGAAATCAGAGTGAGAGAACGACAATAACAAATTTTTGAACAAAAATAGAACAAAGGGAAGAAGTTCATTACCAGTCGTCTAGTATTTTTGGGCTTGTTTATTATAACGAATATTCCTCAATTATTACTATTCAATGGAAGAAATCCTTTATTGCACAGTAGCACTTCGGTTCTTCAAGATTTCAGGCTCCAAGAATGTGACATAACTACAACAACAAGGAGCATATAAATATGTCCCCTGTAAGGAGCGTGTATATCAAAATAAGGACACAATGCAAGTAAGCCTAACAATCAAAACTTAAACATTGTTTAAGCGTCTTTAGCGAAGCAAATATGATGTGGATATCCGCTTGCGAACAACAGAGAACTAGCGGCAGGTGCATGCTGATATTTTTCAGCGTCTTCGACTTTGATACATACTTCACGGTGAACATTCAAATCCCCGTCGTGTTTGATGATTTCCAGGGTCGATCGATGGTACAAGCGCGTTGTCCGAGAAGTTGAGTAAAAAGCACTGCCTGGTATAAAATATTGCCCATCGTCGTGAAGCCTTCATTTATGACTATCTTACAAACACAAAATTCAACGAAAGCTCAACAGTGCGTAGAATAAGAGTTAGAGCTAATTTACCTTTCCAAATATTTAAATATGCAATGCAAATTCCTCTAGATCCTCAAGACTTAAACATTTATTTTGTACCTATATTCAAGAATTGCAGAAACTAAATCCTGATTTGACTGAGATTTGTGAGCAGTCTTTTTAGACAAATGGTATAAGTTTTACAAAATAGTCGACTTTTGCTAAACGTGGAAATGGATGTCTTTTAAAGTCTTATTAATGATTACAGTTAGTGCCTTTCTAATATTTTAAATAGGCAGTTGTTGTCAGAAATAGACCGTTTCTCCCCCGTGCAAAACGATTAGTCTAAACGTGTGCAGGTGATAATACCTTTTAATTTATTCTGCGGTATCTACGGCTCTGATTTTGGTCTTCAGAGCCGTAGATAGTAAATATGTCCACGCTAAACAAACGCCTTTATTTGAGAATTGAGAGTCAACGTAAACCAGAGGAGCGTCAACGGGGAGGTCATAATGACGATCACAATAATAATGATCAGGAGACTAAATAGAATAATATCAATGCGGATTCTTCCTCTTAAGCATCCAAAATTCTCTAAGACTCGTTTTTCAGTAAGGTCTGAGGCGTTTGATTAACGAACAATTCAAAATTTCCGTTAGCAGACATGTAACCAATGTCAGAAGCACTTCTGTTAACCCACACGACGTATTTAAAGTTTTTCAGACGTCATAGCTCATGATAGAAAAATTTAGGATGTTATGCCAAAATGCCTCTCCTACAAGCCTCCAGTCAACACGGAATTGGCTAAACAAACGGTGTTCCGTCATAGTCGGCGAATGACAAGGGTACTCATGCAAGATTGTCACCTGCGACTTAAGAAATACGCACACAGTGCTGAAAACTACCGGATGCTTGTTACAGGCCGGTGTGGGGAATCGACTGCCGCCACATTGGAGAACACATTACTAGCATTGGGACGAAAGAAATGTGCTAACAGAGACGCGGATTTATCGATAAAGTTCATGACACTGCAGACCGCACAAGACCAGGAAACCGAACAAACGATAGTACATAACCTCTCGTCAAAACAACTTACTGTGACCCAAACAAAAGTTCTACAACGTGGATCTGGTTTTAACACAACTGACGCCAACCCGGTCACCTTCATTGCTTCTTTCGAATCAGTGTTTCGTCAAACCGGCGCCACAGACGAGGTAAAGGACCTCCTTCGACATCAAGTCTCTTCACTTCTCATGTCGCACCGGAAAACCCATTCCCTGCTAAGAGATGAACAAAAAGCCCTAAGGGAGCTGAAAGCGGACACCGAAATAGTTATTCTGCCTGCTGACAAAGGCCGGTCAACCGTCATCCTCGACAAGGTGGACTGCCGACGCAAAGCCCTCCTGCTCCTCAACGATCGAGAGTCCTACAAAGTCAGCGACACCGCCAGTCTAAAGTCCCTAGTGGCAAAGGTTAACAGAATTCTGGCTCGACTGAAAAAGGACAAGGTCAACACCGTCAAAGACTGGTATATGGCAAAGCCCGCAGAAACCGCTATGGCGAGATTCTATGGTCTCCCAAAAGTACACAAGCCAGATGTTCCCCTCCGTCCTATCGTCTCACTCCGAGGCACACCCACATACGGGCTTGCAAGCTGGCTATTTCAGAAGCTAAGATTCCTAACTGCAGGCTCACAAACAACGGTGCACTCAGCAGAGCAATTCCTTGACAAAATAAGGGCAGTCACTATCGAACCGAATGAAGGGTTGGTGTCTTTTGACGTCGTCTCACTCTTCACGTCCATACCACAGGCCCTTGCGGTCGAAACGCTCAGTGACCTGCTACTTCAAAATTACGACGGGGGGGGCGATGGCCAGCCCACAGCTCAGGATTTCATAGAACTCATGGGGCACTGCCTCAAGACATTCTTTACCTTCGAAGGGACCACATACGAGCAGATCAAGGGCACTCCAATGGGTTCACCATTCTCCGGACTCATTGCCGAGGCGGTTCTACAAAAGTTCGAGAGACGACTATTCGAGGAGTACAAACCCATATTTTGGGCACGCTACTTTGATGACACCTTCGTGATCATAGACCAGGATAAAATGAACTACTATGCGGAAGTGCTGAACTCAATCATGCCTGACCTACAGTTCACGATGGAAGAGGAAGTCGAGGACAAACTCCCCTTCTTGGATGTTCCCGTCTGCCGCCAACCTAATGGCGAACTAGCGACGTCGGTCTACAGAAAACCGACGAACACGCTGCAAATTCTCAGCTACAACAGCAACCACCCGCCACAACACAAACGAAGCTGTGTCCGCGCGCTGTACCTACGGGCGGAAACTCATTGCAGCACACCAGCCGCCAAACTGAATGAGATAAAGCTCCTCCGAGAACTTTTCAGAGCCAATGGCTATCCGCGGGCATTCATTGAACGAAGCCGGAGGCAGCCAAAGAAACGGAATGAGGAGCATAGTCAGCCAAACTCGTGGCGGAGCATATCGTACATTAAAGGGGTCTCCGAAGTCGTGGCTCGATCACTCGCGCCACTCGGAATAGGTGTTGCCCACAGGCCTAACTCAACAATCCGCCGGCAAGTGATGCGGCCGAAAGATCCGATCACTAAGCAGGAGATGTCGGCCGTTGTCTACCGACTTCAATGCAGCTGCGGAAGTTGCAACTACGTTGGGGAAACCGGCCGACGACTGCAAACGCGAATGCACGAGCATAAGTTGGCCGTGCGAAGGTTGGACCCAAATTCGGAGGTAGCAACCCATGCCGCGCAAATGGGACACATCTCCAACTTTGACGCCGTTGAGATTGTGGGCCGGGGCGGCAATCACACAGTAAAGCAAGTGCAAGAAGCCTGGATGTCCACCGACCGCTCTGTCAACCGCCACATCAATTTGCCTCCCCCTTATCTGACTTTACGAACCTTCTTAGCGGGGGACAGTCACGGCGCGGGACAATCGGGGCCGTCAGTCATCACCGCGGCCGACGGGGGCGATTCAGGTCACGGTGACATGCGGGTTGGATGCAGCCACACAGGCGGCATTGGCGGTTCACGCATTGGACAAAGGGCGCCATAAGAAGGAGTGCTGTGCACAGGACCTCCCAGTCCCTGAAGATGGGTAGACGAGTAAACTACCCGAAACGTCGGATCTCAAATAAACCCCTCCCGGTGAACGCCCCCTCTTCTTTGAATTTAGGATGTCTTTGACAGAATAACAACCAGTGTGCAAATGCATTTTCAAATTACGAATACTGCGTTGAAAAGCTCTACAGTCTAGGCTTGTGCAAACAGAATGCCGAAGTTTTTAAAACACAGATATTTGGTTCGGACCAAATGACTTCACGAAAATTACGATTGCGACATATCATAAAAAGGCTAAATCCACGATTTTGAGAAATGCAACCACGTTTAAGACTTCACAATATATTCAATGAAGAACTTAATGCTTCTAAAAGAACATCTTGAATTAAACCGTTTCTGTTGGAAAAACATAGAAATGTGCGTCTAAACAAAGCCAGTTAGACGGCTGACACAACTGCCTGAACTGGTATTAATACCGTAAAACGTATGATCCTTGCAACTTAAAGCTTTCTATTCAAACAATTAACATTCAGTTGGCGGGGTTCTAAACTGCCCTCAGAGTCCAAAACGAACTAGGGTAGTCTGCCCTGCGATAGGGAGGGCCCGTTACTAGCTTCCGTGCTTGACTGCGGCCCATAGCACGCTACCTTTTGACTCATGTTAGTAATTATCAGTTTTGTATTCTTTGGTTTCATACACTGCTTCTTCGGTAGCCAATGGGCACTGTGTGTTATAACAAACAAAAATGGTTTTGTTTAATTCTGATCTCTAAGTTTTAGGAGTTGCTTGCGAAAATTCAATATGAAATAGCATCTTACCGAAAACAACTTTCATAAGGCTAGAAATAACTAGGTGCTATCATAATATGAGGAACCTCTCTCAGATGTATCCTAAGCCACCATTTTATACTTATGGTTTTGAAATTTCACTAAAAAGGATGCTTAACTTATTTTAGAGTGTTCGGTTGTCCTCATTACATGATTAAGATATTTTTTCTCATTAAATCAGATAAAATGCAGACCAAATAAAACCTTATTAAAGCCATGAAATTATTTCTTACACATTTTATTAATAGCACGTAAAGTGGATTACCCAAATTGCAAGTGGATAGCACTCTCTAAAAGTCGAGCAACTTAAAATACCGATGTTATGTGCCAGTGGCCCTTATCAAAGTGCATTTAACATAAGTCGTGCTGTTGCGGTGGCGTCTGTTGTTCAGAATAAAGTTGATCAGCACATAGTTTGTAAGATTCCACTGGCGGTACTTCTGGGAGAATACAGGGCGGAACGCTTTGTTCTCTCTTATGAATCTTGAGGCTTTCATGCAGACAGACAATGCGAATGAAACTCAGCCACTTGGCCACTCCGCAGGACACATTCTTTTCACTTTGCAAGTTGATTGCGCACTTAAGTGGAATTTCACCTGTTTGTTTGGGAAAGGCCGCTTAGAAGAAATTATACTTACGGTTGTTAACAAAAACTGCCTGTTACAGCAGAATTCAAAGTGTACACCTTAATACAAAAATGGTCCTAATGTCATGATGAGTACAGTCTCTATTTGTTTAATGTCACATGTTCTGTTTGTCGGCATCTATGCATCGTGCTGCGCGAAATGAGACTGCGTTTTTCAAAGGAAACCTTTTAAAAATAGATAGGCGTCTGTTTCCTTAGATGTGCACTAGGCTCCTTGTCATCAGCGTTATTCTGATTTTAACCTTATGTTTCCATTTTCGATTTGCAAATATTTTTGTACAAAAATTTATTATAACAGACTGCTCACTTTATTACGTTCAGATGTGTGACGCGTGGAAGTGTTAAAGTATGCTTTTAGCTGTTAGGAGAAAATATCTTAAAGTTTCTAATTCGCAAACGAAATCCTATTCCTTCTAAATTAGGGAATTGGAGTATCACACGGCCAAGGAGAAATTACGTGCTTGAAAAGATGAGGAAGTGATGGTTTTCGATGATAAGAATGCTTATGAATACAAAGATGCTGACAGTGATGTGCATACTGATAACAATCAGCAATGCTTTTCTTCCAGGTTTATGGGTTTTACGATATATTTGGTTTTCCAGTTTCTCTTTACGTTGACTGGGAATTATTTTTGCCGAGCATCTATAGGTTTCATGGAACCAGGCGTTATTTAGACTGATTCGCAAGTTAATCGAGATGAAGGTTTCATAGGTTAATCAAACTGAACTCTCGAACTGGCTAAGCGAGAGTGTGCTCAATAAAAATGGTTTGTCTTTATTTTTGAGGATGACGACTACCGAAAGAGAAATCACATTTTTCAGCACTATTTAAAACTTTCAATCAAATCGGAGAAACGGCCGCCTAAAATAACTGAAAGTCAGTTGCAAGTAACTTTAGGTAAAAAACACCGACTTTGAGGATGCCTTAGTGGACAAGTTTAAATCGGTCATTTTGCAATGGACTAGAAAAGCGACTTTACTTGTATCGCTTTGATTTAAACGAAAATCGCAAATTCCTAACCATGGAACGCAGGCAACAATTTTCCAGAAAAAAACAAACAAAGCTCACTGTTCTAACAATGAAAGGTATATGCAGGTTTTTTGAGTTGTGTAGGTTTGAATCATTTCTTTTGTACCAAATACACTCGCTTGCTTTGTTGGCTAATTTTAAAATATTTCCAGTCCAGGTTTTAGGGAAAAGTATATAAGACATGAGTGTTTTTGATACGCCTTATAATCAATTAAATCCTTTGTAATGCAAAATAAACGTGATTTCCGGCTAACTTTCATTTTTAGCCTTAACCAACTCTTTGAAAGGCCTGTTGTAGGTCAAAAGATGGCAAAAAAGCTATGGATTCAGCAGTTATGCTGTGTAACTGTCCTAATTTTGACGTTCTACTGCTAAATTCAAATTCAATTTTCCAGAGTCCTTCATTTTTACATTTGCGCTTCTGTTTTTGGACATGGTTTTACTGTAACTTTAAAATCACGGTTGATCTAAAATGCACAGCTGTTATCTAAATGAAAACGGACCAGTCAAAATGGGGAAGGTGGATTAGAAGACTTATAACGGTAGGATGATTTTGAAACGTTAACGGCTTTATGTCATATTTACGCACAATAAAAAATACGGGGTTTTGCTTTACCACTAATATATTTTTCAGATAATTATGGGAATTTGGTTGCCTTTGATGAAAATGGCGATGGCGTTGGGCAGTATCTTATCTACAACTACGCCCGTGATCCCTACACGGGGGAGTACAACTACCGTCTGGTTGGCGACTATCAAAAATCGAAGCTCTCTATGCGTTCCAGACCTATCTGGCCTGGCGGACAGTCAAGACTGGTTCCCTCCAGTCAGTGCTCTGAAGAATGTCCGTAAGTAAATCAGCTCTGGTTAATATGCTGATCTCAGATACACCTAAAACTTGCTCTACTTTATAGCACCTGCAAGTCTGTGAAAGACTGCGGGGAAAACTTCTAATGAAAACTTTCACATTGTGTATTTTGCACGCCTATTTAGACTGTTGTCTAAAAAACAATAAAATAGAGCGAACTAAAGGAAAAGAAAAACCTCATTCCTATGTTGGCGTACAAAGGTATCTTCATCTATCCTGCAGAGACCTAAAGTACTGAAGCACTTAAATAACACCGCTCGCACGTAAATTAGTTGTTAAGATTTGCATCTTATACAAGAAATTTCAAGACGTTCATATTTAAATTTGCTTCAACTAGATTCCCCGAATTCCATCGGCAATTGAACGTGGTACAAACTAGTCTGCTTTAAAGACTGGAACTTAATTTTTATATCTTACTGTAGGAAGAAATTTACCTGGCAAGTTCTGTTCTAGCGGAAGATCCAGACAGAGTTCTAGACTATCCAGCATAATCTGGATATCTAGTCCACTGATCTCTATGCGTACGTTATAGGAATAAAAATGTGTTTCAAACTCAATAAGATGTAAGTTATAATTTAACGAGTATAGGGTGACCGTAGGGCATTTACACTAATTTTAATCCGAACTGAATGGCAGCCGTTTCTGTGGGTAAGGCTTTTGAGACAGAGATGTTTAGACCTTTTTAATTTTAAAATTTACCCCGTGAAAACCCTTTATCAGTTTCTATGCTAGTCTAGGTATTGAAATTTTGCATAGGTTTGGATACTTTGAACTACTAATGAAATAGATGGCTTTGTATGGGCATCAGCTATGTGTTAATAGAGTTGCTTCTGGCAAAATGGATATGGTAATTCAGCTCTAGCCAAATTGCACTAAAATATCATTTGGAACGCTTTGCGTAAACGCAAAAGTCATGCTTTACTCACAATTGTGTTTATTAATTGTTGGGAAACAACCATATCACACGCGACATTGGTGAGGTTTCCTATAACCTTGAACGTCTATTGTTTAATTTTTCCAGTGTTAAGGTCTAAACTCGGGCAAACCAAACATGTTGTTGAGTTCTCTACAGTAAGCCTGTTAAAAAACTTTTAAGAGTGCTGCGAGTCTTGTTGTTAAAAAATCAAAAAACATAACTACGCTTGCCGAGAAGGACGTTTAACGTGAAGACTACGATGGAAATTTATTTTGGTCAGGTAAACGCTTTCACTTGTGTTTTTAAATATTTGCTCCTGTGTTAATTAATTTTTTGTTAATAAGGACTTCTGACCGATACTTACGCAAAATGGCTTATTGCGGTTTTAACTTAGTAAACTTCATCTTCAGAGTTTTTTCATTTTCTCTGCAATGGAACTTTAGCGCTTTATAAATACTGCACAAAAAGTCAAATCCGCGTTTCCAGACTTCTTTTTAATTACTAAATGCAGCATAGTTACAGACGTCTTTAATTAGGCAATGGCATTATTCACGCTTTCAATCAAAGTGTCACTATGGCATTTGAAAAGACAAATTAGCCAGAGAGGATTTCATGGCAAATAATGTCAATGTATTTTTGAATTTTTAAAGAGACTACGTCAGTACAAATGTCAAGGATCATAAAAAAAGGTATTGTGTGGACTTCACGCTCAAATTACGCAATGTTTTTTCGAGGATAAAATTAATAATAGATGGATCGTAAAATATTAAGAACCGCTGTGAAAACATGCGAGATTTTATGAGGAAAAGGCAGGGTGTTTCGCATCTGTAATCCCCATTGCATCTGATTCATCGTAGTGGGAACTAATTGTTAAGAAAATATGTCATTAAAAGATGTTTAAGATAAAATATATATACCACATTTTACGGTCAGTTCACTAAAGCTAGTCATGCCAGTATACCATCAAATTAATTTATGACGCCAACTAGAGGGAGGCTTTCGTCGAGTTCTCGATTCTGGGAGGCATAAAAACGCTCTGAATTTTTCATTTTCTACGTAAGAGGTGAGTTGACGGACATGGAATAATAGTCAGCTGGCGGTAATACTAAGAAATCCAAGGGAAGCGTGCTGCTGTCGACCCAAAAAGGTAGGGCTGACCCAGGGTTCAAAAGTGTGCAAAAATGAAAGGTAATTAGAAGCACAGTTGGCCAGACGTCCCACTACTGAACCATTCGTCCATCGCGGATGGAATTGTCACACTGGAGTACCCATTACTAATCTAGCCTGGTTTCAGGAGAAAATGAAGACTGCCTGCTTTACTTAAAATTATGACAAACCGTAGCATAAATTAAATACTCCGTGATAAAGACTCATTGCTTGGGATGTCAGGGAGGCCATCATGGCTGTTTCTGGTAAATGTGCAATCACTAGCAAATTATGACTCTGCCTTGCCCTGCGAACACTCAAAAACTCGCACATTTCTTTAAAAACAATTTGGAAAATGCAAAATGTATCGCTGGTGTTACAGGCTTTCAAACCTCGCACAGTAAAAATAATATTTCATCAGATTTCAGGAAATTAACAGGCGGTCTCAATGGCATTCAAACCGACAGCAGAAAGTGCTCGGTTTAGACACAGCCAACGCTCATATGCGGACCACATTTTCTTTGCAAGCTACTGCAACTTATGAAATCTACTAATTCTGACAAATAAGCAAATTTGTCAAAGAAATCACCATAAAATTCGCCAATGAATTAGTACGTAAACTAAACTGATGGATTTCTTATCTCTTTAGTTTATTGGACAGGTAAGTTGGCGGAAATAAAGAAAACCTAGAGCTCTCAGTCTCAGCTTATTACGTTATGTGGTTGCAGCACTGGCTTTAATGAAGCCCGGTCAATTCTGTCATTGATCCCAATCGACCAAGAGCACCAAGCTTCTCACAACTTGGTATTCAGTTAAACCAAGAAAAGCTAACAGTAAATATTAGTAAGTGCACTGTTGGAAGTTAACTATAGGAAAAACTTACCCTACAGTCCATGAAAGTTCGAACATCGGCTTTGACGATATCTATCGTGTGCTCACAACGGGCTGAATACAGGCACGGTGGCTTGTCGGGAATTAGATTATAGTGGTTGTTAACTTGCGCAGTACTCACCTCATCCGCCCCTCCTTCCACATCTAGGCTCAGTATCAAGACATAGTCCAAAAACCCTAGAGGGGGATAGGACGCAAGTGTGTAGCATGGCCGGACCCTCATCTAGGCGTACCACCACACCACCTGGTCCACAAAAACTCTTTACAAGAATTGTATATACCGAGAAAAAAAGGAGAGGACAGTTTAAAACACAAATTAACGGCGCGAGAGCCTGCGACTGGGCCTGAGCAACAACCCTAGTCCACAGTACACGCGGACCAGAATTTAGATCCCGACAAAAGCAACGGTGACGACTGGCGCGGCCTGGACTGCTCGAAGACATGCCTCCATACTTGGCTCGGATTTCCACAGAGGTCACATAATGAGGGGGCCATTACAGTCTAGCTCTCAACCCACAAGTCTGCAACTATACATAAATACATATGCTGGAATGACTAAGATGTCTACATTATCCGTCAGTTGACAGCCTTCCAATTCATCTCAGAAGGAGAAGGATGGCCCAAGTCACTGGACAACCATGCACCGGCCTGATTACTTACTGAGAGAGCAAACGCATCTACCAACATGAAATCAGTTGCCTGAAAACTTCCGGCGCATACCAGGCTGCGAGGACCATGGTCTTCTGAAGCGTGTAATAGCACACGCACATAATCCGTAAAGCCCACAAGGGTGCGACGTAGCCCTGCATGTAGTCTAGACCATTATCCCTCAGGACCGGGTAACCATTCAGTAATCTTCTTGGAAGCACTACCCATAAATACTCCCACACTCCTCGCAAGCGTGAGAGTGCAAGTGGTCACATAAAGATGGAGACGTTGTAGGGTTACTCTCGGCCCACACAAACACACAACTGGGCAGATTGCAAGGACTTAGTTGGTGCATCAGTTAGCAATTTTACAAGCCACGGTGTTTGGTCCCACAGTTCGACCCTATTAGGAGTGAGAAGCACGAGGATGACTGGGCAGCCATGCCCACCACCTGTATACCCAGCGGGGGCACAAACGCATCTACCGACAGGGAACCAGATGTCAGGAAACTGCCAGTGCGTACCAGGCTGTGGAGGCCATGTTTTTCTGATACTGATATAGCACACGCTTTTATACCTTTTGAACTAAAAGGGCGACACGTAGCTCTGCATTTAACCTGAACCGTCGCCCTTCAGGGTTGGGCGCTTGGCCCACCGTGATAGTCTCAGGCTCAGATAACAGATGCAGCAGAGTAGATACCTTGAGAAGGAGTTGAGGAGCACATGTCTCACGCACCTGGGTATGCTTACGTTGTGTGGTGATTGGTACCGTTGACGTGTTTCCTAAGCGCTGATGGCGAAAGGTCTGGTGATGTAGTATGACTGGCGATGGTCTACGCAGGTTTCAATGAATACGCATGTGGCCTTGTAAGTCCATGCGCAAGGTGAATTTGTGAAGGTAATGCGGGCAGCTGATGAAAGTGCGTCTGATGTATGTGGGTGCTTCAGCACTGGGCTTCCAGTCTCCTTGCACTGGATTCGCGAATGACCGACCAGGCAGATGTGTGAGGTGAATGTGCGATAGCAATGAGGACAGGTTGGGACAGAGTACACATAGCTGGAGATGATGATGTTGATGGTGGTGGTGGTGGTAGTAAGTGACGGGACGTTGGATGTCGTCCCATTGGGGGGCATGCGAGAGGACGTGGTGTTGGCGGTGCTAGTCACTGTGATTAACGCAGAGCGAATGATTTCGAAGATCGGTGGCGGTGGGACATTGGCAATCTGACCACAGATGACGGGGATGGTCGTCGTCGCGTTATTCGCGGTGGTGGGGGTGATGATGGTAGAAGTGTTCGTGGAAAGAGATGACGTTGCCGGGTTGTTACAGCATTGTTTCCGATGGTGTCCTACAAGGCCAATTCTCGAGAGGATTGTGTCTTGTCAACGCGGGCATGTTGGCAGCGGTTAGATGTTGGCATTGACGGATCGAAACATTTGTGACTTGTGAGTCTGTCTTCTGGCTTTGCGGCGGCGAGCAGGTTCGCTTCGCAGATGGCAGCGCCAGTCTGTACTTCTATTTCCCAGGCTTTCTGTCCTGAGAGAGCTTCTCCCAGGTCTCCGGGTTAATCTGATATTGCTTCATGAAGTCCTTCGAGGGTACTTTCAGCGTAGTTTCTGTCCTCTTTGACGACGAATATCCGAAGTGATATCTTTGTAGAAGAGTCGTTTCGATAGACTTGTATTTGCCATTCTCGCGATATGGCTAATCCAGTGCCGTTACAGTTGCCTTTACATAGGGTGGAGGCCGAGAATTCCTGTCCGTTAGAGAATCTCTATGTTTGGGATCCTGTTTCGCCATCTCAGTCCCAGTATTTTGCGGAGGCAACCGAAATGAAGTGGCGTAGGTTCTTGGTATGGGTAAAGTAGACGGTCTAGTTCCCCGCTCCGTACTGAAGCGTCGTTAGGACAATGACCTTGTACATCTTCAGTTCGGTGTTCGATTGAAGACCGTGACAATGCCACACGGAGTTCTGCAGCCGGTCAAATGCTTGGCTCGTCGTCCAACGTGACACTGTGCTGTCTAGGTAGTTGAAGTTGCTCACGGTCTTTAGTTCGGTGCCGTTCACGTGAATGCGATGAACACTGTACTTAGCGTTTGATGACTGTTGATGTATGACCACCGTTTCGTCCTTATTGGTGGTCAGTCCGATGTTCAACAGTCGGAGGCTAAGAGGTCTACCTTGACCTGTATGTAAAATTCGGTCGCGGTGTTGAACGCGCATTCGTCAGCATAGAGCGTGTCGTGGATGGCAGTCGTAGATAGCCGACTTATGGCCCTCATGCATTTCCTGTTGAGAATTTAGGCGTCCGTTCTGCAGGTGATGCGTATCCTAGGATGATTATCATGGTAGGCGACAACCGTCATGGCAGAAAACATGACGCTGAGGGGCGTGGGGGTTAGTAAACACACCTGCTTCTCTCGATGACTTACTCCGAATGCCTCGGTGAGTACGTCGTCGTCCGTAACACGCACCATCATCCCGGCGTGGAGCTGGCGCACCACGCTCAGGACAGCCGAACGTCAGCATGATTCTCCAAAATCCTTCGAGATTCCCCATGTCGGCGGCCGTCCTCAAGTCCACGAAGATAGTATCGAGGTTGTTTTGCATCTCCTGGCACTTCTCCTGTAGCTGACGAGCAATCGAAAACAATATCGGTGGTCCCGTGCTGTCGTCGGAAGCTACGCTAGAATTCCGGAATTAGTCCTTGCTCAAGATAGCCGTTGAGACGATTGAGATGGCAAGCAAAGATCTTTCCAGCGATGGTGAGTAACGAGAGGTCTTTGTGGTTACCGCAGAGTTGGTGGTCCACTTTGCGCTTATAAAGATTAACAATGGTCGCGCACTTGAACTTCTGAGGGAACTGCCCACAGAGCCACATTTCCCGGAAGAGCCTTGTGAGATGAGCCATGGGTCATTGGCAGCTGCGTTTACAGATTTTAGTCGGAATCGCATTGGAGCCCGGTACTTTCCCTCCGGAGAGTTGTTGCACAGACGGGGTTTTTCTTGAAGTGAGGACGAGAGATCCAGGTCGATGCTGACTTCCACTTGAGGGAGCCGGTCGATGGAGGCGTCGGAGATTGTAGAAGGACGGTTGAGGAAGCTTCTGAAGTGTTCGGTCCAGCGCTTCGAAATCTGCGACATCTCCGTCATTAGCGTTGAACAACAGAGCTGAGACGCGGCGTGGTTCATTTCGTTGGGGGCCGTAGATCACCTTGGTCGCAGCGCGGAACTTCCTCTTTTCGTTGCGGTTGGCAAATCCCTGGGTCTCCTCGGCCATGTAACCCATCCAGGCGGACCGCACTTCTCGTAAATGTTGTTGCGCAAAGCGGCAGCATTGATAGAAGGCCGTTTTGTTTGCGTCGGACGGACGGGCAATGCAGGCTCTGTGCAGCCTGCCTTTCTCGGCTAGCAGGTTATTAATGGCCAATTCGAAAGAACAGTATCCAACTTGCCTGGTGGTCGCTTACCCTGTCACCTCCTAAGGGTTTGCGGACGGAGCCTCATTAGAGTCTGTCCAGCCATCGGCGTCGCAGATCGTTTTCGTCACCAGCACGTCCTGTCGGACGAGAACGTAGTTCAGCCGTCACCAGCGTTGAAATCGGGGATGCATCCAGGTAGCCTTCTCACACATCTGCAGGCAGAAGAAGATATTGGTCATCAGGGGGCGGTGTTCAGCGCAGGTTGGCAGGAGAGGGACACTATTGCCGTTGCATCCGCTGATCCCGTAAATGCCCTTAAAGCTGCGTAGCCTGTCCCGACGCGCGCATTTTAGTCGCCAAGGGCAACCAGTTTGTTCGCCTTCGGTGAAGACGACTGAAGGGCATGCAGGTATTCGTAGAACTTTGTCTTCGCCCCATCTAAGCCAGTCATTGTTGGGGCCTGGACGCTGACGATAATGGCGAATTTGCCTCCTCTAAGAGGCAGGCGGAGGTTCGTCAGGCGATCGTTGATGTCCTGCGACAGACGGGACAGCCGTCCCAAGATGTTGTTTCTATGGCAAATGCGGCGCCCATGTCACATTGCTCTGACATAGGGCTGTAGCTCCAGAAGGTGTGGTCGATACTCGCCTCTCCAGCTGAACTCGTTCGGAAAACCGGGTCTCGCTGAAAGCAGCGATGTCCAACTTGTAATGCACCAGTTTTCGATCGACTAGCGCCGTACCCCATCTCGGTCGGTTGCTGCGCGGATTACCTAAAATGGTTTGAACACTGTATTTGCATAATAACTTTGGCGGAAATTTAAATTTCGCTGCTCATGAAGCATGCGGTTTGCCGTAAGATGTTCTCATATATGGCCTGGTTGAGCACAGTTAACGCTTAAATACAGTACCTTGTCGGCTGGAAGAATTTTCTGCTTGAGAAAACAATCTTTTTGAATGTTCTTCTTTCCACTTAGGCATTGGCACGTCATAATGCTCGATATCGTGATACTCATAATTTTCACATTTTAAGGCTAAATTTACAGTGAGGCCCCTGGTCATTTCCTCTCACAAACCTTTAAGCCGATTTTATTTGAAACACGCATATTCCTTGGGACAGCTCACATCCACTGCTTCCATTTTACGAACCACACTTATACAGAGACGCCAATGTGGCTTAGTGCATTTTTATCTATAGCTTCGGATCAGTGAGACAATACAGCAAGAAGCAACAATGCTGCTGGACCTGCGAGGAATGTCAGGCAAACCAAATAATATTAAATTTAACAAACTGTGAAACTTGTCCGGACCAATACTGGCCAACAGCAAACAGAACTGTCTGCGAGCGCTTGAAGGTAAGAAATTGTTTTTCTGTTTTCGTTTCTCAGTCCATCTGCAATACATTGAGGTTTTGGGAATTTTTTAAAGTTGCAAAAATTCATATGCAGCAAATAAGAAGAACATTTGGAGAACATACGCGCGCTTTCGATAAATTCTTATCAGGCCAGTACATTTATATGGAAAGAAGGTACAAAGTTAAAAGTGTGAGAGTTATGCAGTGCCGTGTCACAAGGGGGAGGTGGGAAAACGGTGTCGCGGAGATATGCATGAAGCTATTCGATTATCGGCGACGGTAGACGCAAAGCGTGCAAGATGTACTTCTGCGCACACAGTACCGGCCTCTGTAGCCTGATGGCAGTTGCTTCTGCTGTTGCTACTAACGCCGACCCAGTCGTTCTGGGTGACTGAGCGGGGCCTTGCAAATCACACAAACAGCTTCGTCGGGGTTCACACAATGTCCAGAATCAACCGCGTGTGCGAGAATGGAGCCGTGGATGCTCTTAATTTCACCTTAAATCAGCCATTCCGGCAGCTGTTCTCGTAATCTTGTCCATAGTATCTGATTCGTGCGACTAAAATAGCCTGCTACACAGCAGCAAGTGAATGGGTAAATGCGCATGAAAGTGGTCTGTCCTGGTAGTCTAACCATACATTTACCGCTCAAGAAGGAGTTTGTCGAGAACAATACTTGAGCTCTACCTGTCGGGAAGGCCCTCGAAACGGCTTGGTCAGGGCGTTTTCTCAGGTGTTCCCTCGTCGCGTCCCCTTGAAAGGGAACTTGCGAAACAGGGTCTTCTTTTCCGCCGTCGGTATGATGAGTTTTGTCACTATTTTGGTAAGATTCCTTACAAATCGGGATATCCGTTCTCGAGAACCAGGTCCAGGCCCTTTCTAAGTTTTTCATCAAAGTTATCTGCTGAACAGATTTTTCTAGCCTTTTGGGCCGACAACGGACTAGACTACGTTTCTATTGACGGAATACGAAACTGCTAAAGTTCGCATATTGTCCAGACCAGGTGTCTTTTCCCTAGATGCTTCTTCGAATTCTACCGTCAGCTCTTGTGCTTAGAAGAACGTCTAGGAAAAGGAGGACGCCTGCCGTTTTCACCTCCAACGTCAACCTGATTGACAACTGGACTTGATTTACGGCATCAAAGAGGGTGGTTGTGTTGGCTTCTCTGGTAGCAATTGCGAAGATTATGTCAACGTGGTGCCCGTAGTGCCTTAGATTATTGATTTGGTCGTTCGACTGAGATTCCTCCAGCTTGACCGTGAAAACATCGGCTGGGAGAGGACCAAGAGGCGATCCCATAGCAATTCAGTCTATTTGTCTGTATCTTAGGTTGTCAAAAGAATTGTACATTTTGTGTGTATTTTAGCAATATTTCCATGAATGCGTTTGCGGTAATGCCTGTTTTTGTTGGTTGATTAACAGGAATTGACAATGAGATTTTTTGCACGACATTTAGTTCCTTCTGTAATAAGACGAAATTAATGCATTAATTGACTGGTTCGTATTAAATGGAAGGTATTGCATGAGATATAAATGAAAAATAAGGACTTATTAACGACAATGTGGCAAAGTGCTGATGAATACATGTTTTGGCAGATTCTGAATGATTCATTTTGACGCAAGTGTGAAAACTCGGCGCTTCAGTGGAATTCGAGGCTACGACAGCAAGGCGAAGGTTTTAATAGGGCCAACACTCTAGCCCTCTAAGCTAAGATGCTCCACCGGTGTCCATGAAGTTTATCACGGTACCTCTAGTGTCTGTGCAGCTTTCTCAAATACAGATAATTTACGCTGGTTGGGCGATCTAATGAGAAAGTACTTTCGTGTGTACAATATATGTACACTTCCTAAAGATGTACTTTAGGTAACGCAGCCGCACGCTATTTGTAATAACTGATGGTCTCATTATTTCCGGACGAGTTAAACTTTAAAACCACATTCAGGCTTGCCTACGCAGCAGGCTAGCACATGGATTCAGTTTTACAAGTTTTTAAATTGCCCGACTTTTCAATCACAAATCCTCACATAAAAACCATACTTAATGCAAAAAATTACGCAATGGCCTAATGGTTTGATTTGCAATCCTAGCAAAATCAGTCGCGCGGAAACTTAAATTTGCTCTGTGATTCAGTAAAGGAGAGGATCTGTCATTGGCGCAACCGATAGGCGTAATCCTCCTTGCTCAGTCAGACCAAATATCGGTCAAAATTGAGAAAACCGCAGTCTTGTCCCGTTTTCGAACAACTTCCCTGAATCACAGTGTGCACAGAATTAATCATTGCCATTATATACAACGTTTGGAATTTCGCACACATAAGAGTCCCGGTACTACGTTACACTCTTTGAAGGAGTTGTTCCTCATATACAGCATTTTTAGGCCGATTTTATAAATTTTGAAAAAAAACTCCTTCGATAGATTTTGATTAACCTTTGGAGGAAAACAGTTATTAATGCCAGTTAACAAGATTTCCTATAACCTAACAGAGAGCATTCTGGTGAAAATGTTATTAGCATGGTACGCGGGTTGAGCCAGTTACTCTGGATTAAAACACAGGCAACGCAAAGAATCAGAGTTTTCACAACGATAGGGTCGATTTTGGGGTTAGATTAAATTCAAGTCGCGTCTTGTGATTCTTGATGACGGAAGTATAGGAAGAGGTCAGTTTAACAAGACCAGCAGTCGAATACATTTCACGAAGACCTTTATTGTTATTGCTCCTTACATCACAAATATCTGACACTTAAAATATCTTAAAGCGAATTTTTGCCATTTAATTACTTACATATATGTGGGTGTAGACTTCGCACCTGCTCTCTGTTGCCTCACATTACGTGTAAAGAAGTTCGGTCTGCCTTAGTTAGTGGATGCTTTACTTACTTAAAACAAGGGGTAACAAATTATTTCAAAAGCAAGATTGTTGCCAGAGTCAAGTAAAAGCTTCAATTCGAGAAGCCCTATGAAATTAGATTGGTTGAATTGTTACCGTACCAATAAGCACTTCACCCCAAATGAGTACCTACCCTATTTACTTAGATTTACTGTTAAAGCGTTCCTTTGTCAGAATATTCTACTTCGTGATCTACTATTGTGGCTCTGTCGACTAAACTTCATCTCATATTTTTTTCTAACCCACCACACAGGCAACATAAACACCGCGTAATAAACTTTATTTTTGGTTAACTTTTGTCACTTTCGTAAATCAAAAAGTTTGTGACAGTTTTAACCAGATATTTTAGGAATTTTACACGATACAAGAACTCATAATAGTTTTTTAAGACTGGTATTTCCCATCCTCATTTTCGTCAAAATTTATGGAATTCTGTTAAATGCCACTAATATTTTCGAATCTAAAAGTCTGGTGTAATTTTCTTCAGAAGCACATGAAAGACTGCTTTCCATGAAAAATCAAAATCAGCCAAAGGCACTGTGTTTCGCGCTTTAATCAGTAGATTCGCATAGACGCAATTCCTTTCTAGAAACGATCCCGCATAATTATTATAAGGACAGCAAAAGGGTTTTGCTAGTTTATAACCTGTTTTAATTCAACCCAAAAATGTCGAAATACTTTCAGCTACGAAATAAAAAATGCCTACGTAAATGACATTTGACATGGTATAAGTATTACCTTTCAAACTTTTGACTATCCATTCTTGTGTGTTCCCTTCTCTGAATAGTTTAAATGTTAGCACTCAACTTACGCTTACCGTTCCGTTGTTTTATATTAGACAATGTGGAAATGAACGTCCCAGGAGGGACGCAAGAATCGCTCAGCTCAAACTAACTAATAAAAGAGAAAAAAAATATAACGAAAGGTAGATTTAACTCGGCATTTTCTGTAGACCAGCTAAGTAATAATCAGGATTATTTGGAAGGAGTGGAATATAATGACTCAGGGAAAAAAGGCATGTTTAACGATTACCAAAGCTACATCTGGAGACATCAGTAGAGGGATTCTTAGGTTCTGAGAATGCACGTCGGTCTAGAGTCAAGGAGTTAGATTCCCTTTTATCACTAGCAAAACTGCTCCTTAGGCGAGAGAATTTATAAGATATTCGAAGTCACGTGTCCAGTTCATGTTTTCGGCAGCTTGGAAAAAAATCTTTCGTTCAATCCAAAATCTTTCGTTGACATACAGTTAAATCCGCTCAGGACACCCCTACAGAAGGCAGGCTGTCACCGAATGAGCATGGTTGAGTGCTGAAGTGCAAAAGCAAACTGAACCTCCGCGAGATACGTGGGGAACCAGGGAAGGTAAGACGCCGTTTAACAGAGAAAAACTATTTTTAAGTTCTGCCGTGTTTCCTGCCAAAGCATTTAATAAGTCATCCTCAACGGGCGTACGTTTTCGATTATTTCTCCGCTTGAGTACTGGAAGTACGGATGAAAATATCAAGAACATTACTACAAAATCATGGTGAGAACGACCAAAGATCAGCGAGCTGCATCGACGAAGAACGCGGACCATTTGGTAGCTATGTTGAGACCGTAATCGAAGAAGGGGCCGAGATGAAATGGATGTAGTTCATTTGTACTGTCAACCCGGTGAGCGTACGGGCTACGTTTCTAAATAGATCAGTGCATACATAAGTTTACAACTTAAACTCTCGACAAAACACTGGTGGAAAATGCTGTCCCAGTGTCATAAAACTTGTTTTTCTAATCAAATATCAAGCAGATTAGTGACGGATGCTCAGTATAAAAATATTTTAAGCCAAACCCACGATTTGGTACCTATAACGCTGGAAGAAACTGTGAACTTCAAGTCCGCGCCCGTAAATTTTTGTCACCAGTGCCCTAAAACAACGTAGCCAAGAACCCGGCACATCGCAAAAGTACGTTTTTAGAGGAACACGAGATTATGTCAAAGCAAGAAATACTAGTCATCAACTCCTACAAAAAGTTTGCTGTCATGCAAATTAATAGAAGTGTTTACACTTCAAAGATCGAGTTCATTCTGATGATACGAGTAAATTCAGAATAAAGCAGTAAAATAAGGATCAAACCGAGGCTATAGAAGTCCAAATCAAAAGGTACCTTTGAAAACTGGAAGATTAAGTTTTCTTCTGTGAACAAGAGTTCGACTCTATTAGCCCACTAGCAGACGTACCCTAATCCTTTTTGATTTACAAAAGATTCACAAGCGTGACCTTACTTTACGGCCGATATGAGGCATGTACAATTTACCTTGTCGCAAAACTTCGACTTGACTAACAGAAATATTTAAACCGACCCGACGCAAAATAACGTTACGCAACCCATGCATTACTTATAAACCCATTGACTTCCTAAGAAATTCGAATCTTGTACGAAAAACGATGCTATAATTAGATGTCTCGTCTTTGGTTTCTACTATTTCCCCCTTGGAAACGGTATAATATTTATTTTGCATGAGTGTTAAGAAAGAATTCCCAAAAAACATTGTTATCGCTGTTAGAAAGGAGCTGTTTCTTCGTTGCATGTTAATTATTCAGTTCAGACTCGATAGCCGATTTCTCCGTTGAAATAACAGAGTAATAGTTCAATTACCCCTTGTACCCCTGCTAGCAAATTTGTTTATGAATAAACTAGATAAGAACCAATTCTATCCTGTTTTAAGGGACAATAATTCTTACGCTTGGTATGTTAATGAAACTTTTATGATAGCATACGAGGAGCTTAATTTGAATATTCTTCTTGCTAATGTGAAACATCAGCCTTCACATGGGAAACGGAAGAGTGCCTCCCACTTCTGGGCATCCTACCTATTACGGCAATTAACGAAATAATTTGTAGACATACATTTCACAAAAAGTGCATGAACAGGACAATAAACAAGCTTCCAAACTTTTTTTCAGAAATGATGCTTAGTCCGCTGCCTAACCAACTAGGTCAGGCGAATATGCACTCCGGACACGCTGGGATATGAACTACTCTTATGCAAAATGCTGCAAGAAAATGATATCCCCGGTAGATTTGTCACGGAATAGATGGAAGAATGTCCGTCAAATTCGGACTTGAAACGGCTAAAAAGAAGGAACTATTCCTAACACTGCAATTTCGAGGGGACGCGTCCAGCAAAATTCTAAAATGTCGTCTAAACCCAGCTATTGCGCGCAGATACACGACCGCAAAATAAGTCTAATTTTCTTCAAAGCCTCTGCCTGTTCGCCTTAAAAGTAAGTAAAGGCTGTTCCTTCAGACTTATTCAGTGCGCATCTACGCCTTCATTTTCTCCTGTGGGATAGTTTATATTGGGCAAACTACAAAGTGACTATCCATGCGGCTGCAACGGTAACATCCCGCATGCATCGTAAAGTCTATCTCCAGCGCAATTGGGGTTGACGGCGGCCATTTCGGAGACGTTAACCGAGCATCTCGAGCGCCTACGAGGAACTGCAAGTTCCTACGCCAGTGGATACTTGAGACAGCGGAGGCAGTGACCATACGGCCAGTCAGCCCGACTTCTTGTGCGCAGAAGGCGTTTTTACAAGCCTTCCAGCCACGTCCACTGTAGTCACGAAAAATAAGCGCAACTCATCGTCGGACTCCCTTAGCCCTTCATCCACCCGGTCACCATGCACCTGACCGAATTAGATCATAATCATATCTGGTATCTGACGTGTCTTAACGTCCTAACTCCACTATCCCATGATTACTGTTCACCGACTGGGTTCCAATTTCGACTGCTCTACCAAAACTTATTTTACATGCATATCTGGGGATAAGTAACCGAGACTTCACGGTCTCCGAATTTGATTTTTTTGAAAATGGATGGTTCATTGATATAAGTCTGGTCTTTCTACCCTTATTTAATTATTTAAAGGAGACAAAATCGCATTTAATTCGAATAGCAAATTTATAAAAGCAAACAATGGAAATGGAATCTTCGGAGTTTATGATTGTGTTTAATTACTTATGTTTGTAAAGTTTTGCATATAAACGCTTGAACTTGAGTCCACAATATCTGCATTTTGATTTTGGGGCATTTATTGCGCCAGGTTATACGGTGGTTTAACAAGAAAGACATATCAAAGTACTTCGATCACGAGATCATGTGAAATTCTGCCGGATATCTTTCAAGTCATTTGTATAGACTGCGCGGAGGAAATCGCTGGCTAAGAACTGCATTATTTTCGCATACTTACGTATACAATTTGTAATATGTTTCCTATTCGTGTTACTTTGCGCAAACTGATAAATTTGACACACGAGACGAGAGTGTCCTTCAGTTTAAAGAGGGTAGGTGTTTGCAGTTTTGTTACCCAGGAAACTTCGTATTCAGAGCACGATTATCTAAACCCCCTTATTTGCTCCCCGGCTCTGTAGGCCAATGTATAGACGTGCAAATAATGACTCCGACTTTGGAAAAAAGCAGTAAATTTTTTACTCCGACATAAGTGCTCAAATGTTTTTGACAACCACTTCTCCACAATCGTTTGCTTTATAAAATGAATAAATGGCATACCATATAAAAATCCTACCATTTTCTCGTTAAAAATGCTCTAACATAATTGAAAAACGGGAGAATGACTGAGAATATAACAGGTGTTTTATGTCAGAATGTGAAAGATGGAGAGGATTGGAATCGCTACTCCTTCCGTTGGCGTTATTTGGGCTGTGGCGTCACAGAACAAGTAGCAAAAGCGTAAATGTTATTTATTCGGATTGAAAAATTTGCGCAACCGTTTAAGCTCTTCCATTGAAACATTTACCGGAGGAAAAAGATATATTGTTCCGTTTTGTTTTCTGAACAGAGCTAATGATCAGGGAAAAGCTCTTCTAGAGGTATTTGCTCACGATCAAACCCAATGAACTTTTGATGATTTAATGGACCATTGTTGTGTCACTTATATGGCTGAATGTAATTTTTCTTCAGAGTTAAATTGTGGTAAAATAGCCCTCCAAATCATGACTGAATTAGAAAGAAAATTTAAATCCTGTAAAATGTTATGAGAAAAGCGTTTTAATTAAGTTTAAAGGGAGTGAATTTATTTTAAGTCAAGGCGCTGTGCCAATCATCCCAGCAATTATTTTGCTTTGTGATGGAATCCATGGAAAACGGAACAAAAACGTCTCCATTCAGTGGCCTTACGCAGTTCATCTAGTATAACTCTAGTCTGGTTGCTGATTTAAACAACTCTCGTCGCTTTTTGTTTTAAAAACTGCTCAATGTTCGACCGCACAATAGTTCTCACTGAAATATTACGTGAATACAAGACGTGGCAAAATGAGTACTTCTAATATCCACGGATTTTCTGGCAGTAAGATATCTGTTTTTTCACCTTTACTACCTAAGGAAAGATGAGCGCTTCCGTCAGGACTGGCAGGCGGTCAAGTATATCTGCCTGTCGCGTGAGGACATAATATATTCCTTACATTTTTTGTAATTAGATTTTCATTGTGCTTGCCAGTTTGCTGGAGATTTCATTTGTCCTCATAATAACTTATTAACGTTTTCGAGAAGTAGACGCGATCGCTGGAGCAAAGTTTTTATTCGAGTGACGTTTCAAATTCACACTTTAAGTTGACATCAAGACCAGAATTAGATAAGGGCACAAAGGTTGCGGTAGATTTGCAATGCAGAGGTCATACTGCCGCAGGCTCTAAAAACTGGCGGCCTCCGCATTCATCGTAGATGGTTGCATGGGGTGCATAATGGGCCCACTGAACGTGACAGGGTCCTTAATTACTGCATTTTCATCAGTCCAGTGGGTCTGTGGAAATTTGACTGACCGACACTGACACTGAACAGTTCTCGCCCACGCGCTCGCCGTGTGGCAAATCGCTTCGACTAGGCAAAGTCCTAGCAGAGAATATGTAGTTGGAAGGTCATTGCGTTTAGTAATTGACCGAGAGTCGAAAAACTATGACTTGAGTAGTTTGTCGCTCATGTGGTTTCCTCTCCCCGTGGAAATTTCGGCCTCAACGAACTCCGATGTCTCACGACTTGGGGACTGGAGTTGTTCATTTACAATGCCGCTGCGTGCTCGGCCGTACGCGTAAGGACTAGTGTCCCAGGTTCTCTGGCGTAGCCGATTTGCCCACGACTGAATCATTTCCGGTAAACGACTCATAACGTTTCCTGCGGGACGTCATGTTCTTCGACTTTATGACCTGACGCCTGAAGGCCGTTTCTATTATCCGGTCCAACCTCTGATAATGAATTCGGGTGTAAACCCGAAACACTAGGCAATAAAAACTCTTGTTTCAGTTCTAATGTCCGCTTTCTCTTGACTAAATGCTGAGGCTCGTCTTTTCGCTTTAAGCACCATAAAGTTTTCTTAAGTACACTTGAAAGCTACACTGAAACAGAATATATGCATATATAAAGTTCTGCGATGTTCTGGCGTCCACTGATTTGTTTTAGTTTTGCTACGTTACATTTTAAACGTCTTTCCGAAGCCGCTAGTTCTCTTCATTTGATTCATTCAAGACCTCAGACAGTTTCGTATAATTGTTGGAATCCGTGCATCTGCAATAACAAACTACCCTTTTTAATTTGTTTGGTTGCGACTACTAGTTAGGTGGCCGGTACGTCAACGTCGAATGCAGGCTTTGAAATGTGCAAACCTACACTTTTTATTTAATCTGTATTTCGCATCACCTAACCCGTTTACTTTATTTGAATGATTTAATCACATGAATTTCATGGCCGCAGAAACTGTCCGCGAATATATAACCACTCGGCACATCGCTAGGACTAGCTCGGGCAAGGACACAGTATGCAACCCCATTCGGGGAACAAAAACCAAATCATCATTTAATACGAATTTTATGGGTGGGGCTAAAGGACGGAAAGGAGAGCGCAACAGTAGGCAAATTTCTATAACCCGACAATTAGGTGGAACAGAAAGAGAGCCGGTTCGGAAAACAAGCACTTCATTGGCAGACTGCAAACACGAGGGGTTTACAACTCGTCATAAAGACACCTGATTTATGCTGGTCCCTGTGCGCTCTAAAAACATTCCGGCCGGTCGTGTGCCAGCCACTGAGAGCGTTCCAGAACCTTCCTGTCTATGGTGTGTTGGTCGCGAATTGGTCACCGCATGAACGGAAACCTCTGGAATGTGCGACCAGCCATTGATTGGGCCACAAGCGTGAGCAAAGCCACCACGCGTGTTCGATGCTGCCCCGCAAGCTAGCTGACTGTAGGATTTAGGATGCCACGGCCGGCCCGACCCGCTGCACGGGACGTAGTTGCGTCTACGTTTCGCCACAGGCCCTGGATCTGCACCATTTCCGCCCTCCATCACATAAACATTCGGATAAATGTTGAGGTGACATTTTACGTCCCCGCGCTAAATTTATCTACGGCTAGTTGCAAAAGAGCACGCGCATCAGGAACTTGATCTCCGAGGACTGATGAGGGTACCAAGACATCTAGTAGTGCCAGCAAAAGTTGAGCACTTTTTGCAGTTCTTCTAAGTCATTTTCACAAAAGAATTAGCTTCCACTTCATCTAGTCATGAGAGCACAGAAGCGTCAATTATAAAAAATGCGAAGGCGCAATATGCCACGATAACTTTGTTTTCATTCCCTGAGTGGGGTCGCATACTGCGTCCTTGTCCATGTCGCTTTCCCTTTGCAGTTAGCGAACAAAAGCAGTACGTTCAAGCGTTCATTTCCGACACTCGGTAATCCTAAAACTAGTGTCCGGCTGATTGTTATCTGTACAATGAACATTACGTTAGCCTTCTGTTTGATGTAGTCGTATGTATGTTGGTGCCAAGAGGACAGGAGTTGACCACCATTTGCCAAACATCCAGCACAAACCCTGCATTAAAATTGAAAAACAGTGGACCATGTAATCACTGCAGAGTACATTGTCTGGGACAATTATGTTACTTGCGCATATTTCTGGTAACAAATACTCCACTTCTAATCGCGGTTTGAGGCTGTTCGAGGCTTTTAGCCCAGTTTTTGCAGGTGGCCCTCTGAAACCTCAATACCGGGGACGGGCATCCAAAAAGTGCTTCGACTTCAAAAACTCTTTTAAGCTTTTTTACTATGGCCTGCATAAAAGGGAATAAAGTATTCACTTTTGTAAATAACTGCATGTTTGTAAGGGTTCCCACTCCTTCTTTTAAATATTTTGTTTTTTTGCATCTTCAGCTTCATTACATAGAGCCGAACAGCTGGTTCGCAATCGTGCCGATGATTTTAAACTGTATTGGTATTTTGGCAACGATTGGAGTTATTGTGACGCTGGCTTTATACTCTGAGACGCCCATTGTGCGGGCAACTGGTCGTGAACTAACTTACCTTCTATTGTCTGGCTGCCTTCTCTGCTACTTGTCTTCACTTCTGCTTCTCATTGAACCGAATCCGGCAGTCTGCGGTATTCAGCGGGTCGGCATTGGGCTGGGTTTTGCCATCATGTACGCCTCATTGCTGACCAAGACCAACCGGCTAGCTCGTATATTTGACGCCGCAAAAAGGACAGCAAAGAGGCCTGCCTTCATTTCCCCACGTTCTCAGCTGGTCATCGCCGGCGGTCTCATCGGCCTTCAGTTTGCACTGTCAGCCATTTGGCTGGGATTTGACCCACCGGCCACCCGCATCGATCCGCTTCAGTCCAACTTCCTTGTGCTCAGATGCGCTATCAAAGACAGCAGTTTGATGACTTCTTTGGCCTACATAATGCTTCTAATCGTCGTCTGCACAATCCATGCTGTGAAAACACGTTGCATTCCGGAGAATTTTAATGAATCAAAGTTCATTGGATTCGCCATGTATACGACCTGCATAATCTGGCTGGCATTTGTACCCATCTACTTTGCGACTATGAGTAATTTTGAGGTAGGAATTGAAAGTGACCTTTTCTGCGCATTTAAACATAGGTTTCTCTTTTTGTCATAATAAGTTACTTTTACATCTTAATCGTAAATCAAAGCTGATGTAAACGTTTTTTTGCGCCACAAGTACGACACACATGTTCCAGTTACTACTTCAGCATGACAGTCCGACCCTCGGTTTCGTCGATGTCCACCGTGCGTACACAGCAGACGGAGAGCAGGCACGATGACTTGTGCATGAATTAGATTAAAGGGGTAATAGACTTGCACAGCATCTATCGCATCGCCTCCTCCCTCACCGAGGCCCGGTGTCATGACGTAGTGAAGATACCCAAGGGCGGGAGAGAGAGCAGGTGGCTGGCACCATTGGACCCACAACTAAGCGTACCACCACACTCCCTAGTCGACAGCAAACACTGGGGCAGGATTCTAATTCTTAACAACAAGGGCGGCAGCTGGCGCGGCCAGGAAACTTCGGCACCGACACTATTTGAAGGTCAGCATAAAACACAGGAAGCGAGTTGTCTACTTACAAGCATTTGACAAGAATAGTTACTACTGTAAGCACTATTACTACAAAGCACCAGCGGCCGACACTCATGCGTCCTAGGAGGCTGTGAACTACCACATTCCAGAATCCGTGTTAGAGACTATACCTTCTGAGAGCCCAACGGCAGATTTCGATTCTAACTATGGAACTTCTGGTAGGATAGCAGTGACAAGCATTTGGTGCGGAACAATAAAAACATGCATTTAATAATGTAGTACACAACGCCCAATGTCTAAGACATTTTTTATCCAAATAATGCAAAAAAGAACAGAAAGGCTTATTCTAGAACTGCACGGCATGTTTGCGACTGAGTGGTTTTCGCATTCCTAAAGTCTTTAGTGTTGCAAATGGATCCTAGTCATTAGACAGTCTAGGCAATACCCCAATCACAACAAACTAAAATCTTCAAGTCGATATGCTTAGTCTTCAGAAGCGTATATAATTATAATTCACCCCCAATAACCTTTTAGGCTTCCCAAGAACACCGAGAGGGGCGCTTCGTTCACTCACCATAATGTGCTTTTAGATAAAATGATCAATTACTTTGATTAAATATGTAAAGAATACCATTTATGGCGGCATCTGCGGGGGGCATCAATCACAAAACACGTTTCCTAACGATTAAAAGAGCAAAACGTCAAACATTGTTAGGGACTTGAAAAGTTCATTTATACCAGTTGTGATCATAATTGAGCAATACAATCAGGCTCACTTCATGGATGCTAGTCCGCGATATCGTAGTCACCAGAAAGTAGCTGCAGAAAAGACTTGATAGTAATAATTGCATTTTTTCAACAAATAACAGAAATCATAGACAAATTTAAATTGGAAGCTTCCGTCATACAGGCTTGCGCCCATTTGTCGTATTCACATAGGATTAATCTGTATGTATTTCCCAGAACTCAGGCGTCAAATACTCAAGCGTTGTTTCTGGCTGCAAACTAAATAAGGAAAATACTTGCAAGAAGGATGTAAATAGTTAAAACTTATACGTACACATCGAATTAAATTAAGAATATCTAATATTACACTGGCCTATGTGGTCAACAGTAAGTAAAAACGTCTGGCTCTGTTCTCTACGATGACCTGGATTTGACGGTTTTTTGTTTATATCACATTTGGCACGCAGCGCTAAATATTCAGCAGTGTTCTCGTGATACCTTGATGAGCATTGCCTTGGGGCAACAAAACATGCATAATTTTTGTTCAGATGACAGAGTACTTTCAATGCAGTAGCGCTCTTAAAAGCAAGAGCAAAGAAACGACATATTTTTTTCTACAAAAACGGTCAAAAGTTTAAGTAACGGTCATGTAACGAAAATTGCATGCCAAAAATTAAAATACTGAAAGTATTGTCCATCTACGCATAATACATGGAACTTTTCAGAAGACTAAAAGGCGTTTACCGCGAAGGGTTTTTGAAGGTTTGACGTTTGGAATAGTTATTTCGCCCACTCATCTTCGGAGACTGGAAGGGCATGCGCACTTTGCTTGATGCGTAGCCCATCAATGCAGCCTTTGCAGATGCATCCGATCCGCATTTCATCATGATCTGTGTCACCCCGACCTCATTGACCGCGGAGATAATTGGCGCCCCAATTGTCTCAAGCCATGACTATAACCCGTCCAGAAGGTTTGTAAAACCAGATAGGGGGGAAATTAATGTGGCGGTTGACAGAGCAGTCGGTGGACATCCAGGCTTCTTACACCTGCCCTGCTGTATGATCATCGCGTCAGCCCACAATTATAATGGCTTCAAAGTTGATGCGTCATTTGCTACCTCCGACTTTGGGTCTAAGCTTTGTACGGTGGACTGATGCTCATGAATTCGTCTTTGAAGCCTCGACTTGGTTTCTCAACGTAGTTACACATCCTGCAGCTGCCTAGGTGTCGGCAAACAACAGTTGACGTCTCCTGTTCAGGTATAGAGTCTTTCAGGCATGCGAGCAACTGTTATTCCGAGTGGCGCGGAGGATCTAGCCACGGCTTCGACGACTCCATCTTTGTATTGAATGTTCCACCATGGTTTTGGGTAACTATACTCTTCATTCCATCTCTTTTGCTGCATTCAGCTTCTTTCAACAAAAGCTGGCACCTGTCGTTGACTTTGAAGAGTTCTTGGAATTTTGTTTGTGCTGCAGTGGCTGGTTTCTGTTGTATTTGGGCATTTGCAGTGTGTTCATTAGTTTTCTGCAGACTGAAGTTGTCAGTTTACCGTCCGATTGGCAGCAGACAAGAACATCTAAGAATGGAAGTCTGTCCTCCACTTCTTTTTCTTCCATCGTGGACTGCCGTTTGGGAATGATTGAATTTAGTCGTTTTCCCTAGTAGTTAACTTTATTCCGGTCGATGATTATAAAAATATCGTCAACTTAGCGTTCCCAGAACTTGTGCTTTTACTCCCTTATCTGTCGCCTCTCGAGCTTTTGCAGAACCGTCACGGCAATGGGCCCAATATTGGTGAACCCATCGGGAGTGCCCTTACTTTACTCATATCTGATCCATCAGAAGGCAAAGAATGTCTTAACTCAGTGCTCCATGAGCTCTATGAGATCTTTTGGGCATAAATTAGCCATGTTTAAGCAAGTATTTAGAAAGCCTTCCTGGATAAGAACGGGCAAACGTTTTTGTAGCCACACTAGCAACAAAACTGTCGTAAAAATCCCCCTGGTATTGAATGGCTTTCAAGATGAATTCACTACATCCCGTCTCCTGCTGCCGAGGGGAGGGTGCGTTCATTACAGGAGGTGTTTTTTTGAATGTTCCTCATATCCGGACGACTTATAAGTTTTAATGACCTAGTATAGTTGAAGATGGATGACATCAACGTCTATACAGCGTGTAAATTTCAGCATTAATAACTCTTGAAATACTTTATTTTTTGTTAGTATTTCAGGTAGCTATTGTTTTAAAACACTACAAATAACGTTTAGTCTCCAATATAGTCAACAGACATTTGCACAGAATGTGAAATGGCCTACATGTTTTCAAAACACTAATGTGCATATGTAAAAAATTGTTAATTGTGTCTCTTTTCGTGGACTAGTTAAAAAGACAAAAGTGAAACCTGTTAGTCTGAGGACGGAAAACAACCCAAGAGCGACAAAATCGGCTTTTGCATTCTTTAGCGACTGTCCATTCTAAAGTAGTATCAAGCAAAACTTTGAACATGTTGCATATTTATCGTCCTGTCATAAATTAAAAGTATATACTGCCAAAACACCCGGTGATTATAATCGGAATTTTCTTTTTCTGTCAAGAGGATAAAAAACGAGTAGTCAGAAACGTCACCGTGCTGCGCTGGAACATAATTACCCATGCTTTGGTTTCTTCAATTGAAGTAGTAATATTATTTAATTTGTTGTCAACAAACCCTCCCTTAATCCAATACCTATTGTTATGGTTATGAATGGACCTTAGTATTAAAACGCGTTTCTTGTGTATTCGCATAACTTTCTATAAAGGGCTTTTTTAGAATCCAATTGGACTTTCCAATTTCCATGCCAGTTCATCTGTGAATACCCGAATCGAACCACGCTAAGTTTCCTGTCGAAATATTCAGTATTTTAATTTGCACAATATATTTGTACCAGCTAAACGAAAGGAAGGGCTAAAGAATGACACATATCTTGACGCGATACCTGCAAGTGCCTTAAAGCAGTTTTGGCTGTGTAACACTCCTCTAAAGCAAAAATTCGGTTGATAATTGTGTTACTCCTATACAAAATGTTTTATAGTCTATCCTTTCTCCTTCTCATTGCCCTTAGTCTCCACTGCAAGCCCTGCAAAAGAAGCTTCTTTCTCGCCCCATTCTTTTTTTCTTGCCGGAGTTATGGTGCATCAAACTTGTCAATTGTACGGATACGCTTCTTAATTAAGCAAAAATCAACTATGACATTGAGACACTTCCCACGAAATAAGCCGCAACTCCACTTTACTTCAGATAGAAACTTGTTTCACTCCCATATGCAACATGCAACTAGTACGTACTGTCGGAGTTCAGTTGTGACCCAGCTGAGAGTCTATGGTTTCATGGGAAAACTTTTCAAACTGCAAAGAATTTATTAAACACCAGCTTTATTAATAATGACGTGCAGAAGTGTCCGAATGTGAGTCCAAATGTTCGCTTTAAGGTATATTAATGACCCTTGGAATATTTTGGCAACAAAGTGTCGGAAAGAAAGGCATCATAAACTATTTATTACTGTTCGTTTTTACTTTTTAGATTCAGGTTTCAACGCTTTCCGTGTCCGTCAGTCTAAGTGCCACGGTTACTTTGGTTTGCCTCTTTGCACCGAAATTATATATCATCTACTTTCAACCCGAAAAGAATATACGCAAACTGACAATGAACAGTGGAACTTCGAATAAAAACAAATATGGTACAATACCTTGACGTTTTTGTTTATTGGTTTGACGTAAAATATTCCCTGTTGGCATTACTATGTTTTATGTAGTTCTTAATCAGCGTTTTGTTGGCACATATACTGTCCTCATCTTTAAGTCGCGACATTTCGTTTTCCACTTATTACAGTTGGACCAGGAATGAGCACGTTCAGCAAGGACTATCGATTTTGCCTGAAGGGTTGCGAATTAACCACATTTTTCATTCATTTAGCTGCTTTACACAACAAGGATTGTAACAATAGTTAGCAGCATTAGAAATAATTGACTCCAGGTCATTGACAAGGATATGCTTCTAGACTTCAGTACAAGAAGAAGAAAATTGGCTCTCCGGAACAGGTTTATTTAACTGCTGACGTTTCAAAGAGCTGGGTCGGCTCTTCATTGTCAAAGCGTAAACTGCACCTAATCGGTCAGAAAGTTAACTTAAAGTGGCAAGCTGTGTTGGCCGGCCTCATGCTGATCGATTTTTCTCTCTCCTCACGCTGCGTCGGCCTCTCAGGAAATGGCTGACGGGCGTTTTTTGCCTGTGCACTTTATGAGTCACCACTCCGTCGAGGGGAGCTGATTGGACTTTAGTCGGGCGGTCGGTCTGGCGGTTCTTGTTCTTCCTCACCGAGTAAGCTCAGCGTCGGGCTATCTCCGTGCTGTCTTCTTAAGTCCGGTGTTGTTGTTTGGTCCTGAGCTCTACGGTTGTGATGACGTAGGACTTTGTAAGCTGCAGGAAGGTCCAGATGCCTGTTGATAGAGTGGGCATCGGAGAACCACGCCTCGAGAGTTAGCCGTTCTGTTTTTGTGTTGCCTCGGCCTAAACGAATTTATTCAGCGCAGTTTTGGGCAAGGATAGTTTTATGGCTGACTTAGAAATGTCTACAGTTTATGGACTCCAAAACAATTTGTATATACAACCACCCATAATACCATTATTCGAATTCTTTCCAGGACGACTGTTGACTTAACCAGGCTCGCAGTATCTAGCACTGCTTTAATAAGAAGGATGCATACCTAATTGACTCGAACTTATGCTCGTATATACAAAGAAGCTAAAATTTAATCGGATTATTCACTGTCATTAAGTTCAGCTCAAAACGGTTTGTTGGCATTTCGTTCAGGACAATCACAAACACACAAATATTGTATTTATTTGATTGGAATCCAGAGACAAATTTGTATAAATGTAAAACCTTAGGTTCTGCCTCGAAGAATGCAAATATTGGATAAGAAGCAAAATACGCCCCTAGGCTTATGAAAGAGGCGGTTACGTTGACCCGACCGTAGGTTACTTTTGGCTAACTGTTACACTATTTATGTACGGATTCATTTAATTGTTTATCTAGCAATTTTGTTTGTGGTTGAACCCGTACACCTTGAGCAGTACTTGAAAACGAATTGCATACGGATTATTGAGTTTGATAGTTGCTGGATTTTTTTCCGTTTTGACACTGCTGTCCGTTCCTTGCGATTCAACATATCGTTCAAATGTGGCACGTATTGCCTTTTGTTTTATAACAAATTTGAATCAACATAAATGAAATCCTTATAAAGTAAAGTTTATTGTCTCTCTATTCATTCCCTTGCTATTTTAGCAATGAGCAAGAGTCCTCCTGAGAGCTTTGCTCGTCAAAGCTCAAGCCTCGGCACGGAGTACGTCCTTACCAATCCGATGCATGTCTCGTCCTTGCAACCTAGCGTTCTTTTGACTACTTCCGACTCCAATCAGATGTCTTCAGAAAGAGGTAAATTGACTATAATACTGGACGACAAAAATGTACCACTAATGTTTACCATTTCGCTAAATCTGACTTAGACTTTTGTTCTTGTAAACTTTAAAGAGCGCTTGAAATCTCCAAGTTAGATACTCTTTTTATGACTTTCCCTGGCTTTTTTGTCTTCACTGGACCAAAGTATTCTAAAAAGAATACTTTCGACGGCCACTTTATCTACAAAACAGTTGCGGGCGTTTTCTTGTTTCTCACTGTATTCAACCGGAATCAAAAACTTTAGAAAGATTTCTATTTGCAGAATTTATAGACCGCATCAAGTCATTTCAGCCAGTCATTCACACTGCGTATACACAAAAGCATGCTTCAACTGCAACTGCAACTGATGTACCCAGTCCCCTGATTTTAAATGTGTACTCCGAAGCTAAAAGTCAATAACTTGAGCGCGTTATCTGAGCCTATTATAATTTTTGACAAATCACCTCCTCCATATCTCTATTTATTTCTGATAATTGCTTTCATAACGAAGGGTTTTTTACGTATTTGTAAACATCCAGTCCAGCATTTTTGTAATGACCTTACATCGAGACTTAAGAAATACACCTTAGAATAATAGTATCTTTGTTGCCATGTGCTGAAAGAAGTCCACATTATATCATACTTCGAAACGGGGTCTATTCGAAAGGCAGGAGGCTTCTAGGAGACTTGAGCCTAATTTGGAGGCAACCGTTGGTAATGCAGATTGTCTTGGATAAATAACAAAACGAAATGATTCAGTACCAAACAAATGGTAATGAGGGTCCTTATCATAGGTATCCTAATTTTTTCAATTCTGCACTGTTCTTGAATTTCTTATTTTAAAGGCAAGTCATTTAGTGGGTTCCAAGAGATCAGTTCTACACGTCCGCTACTTAATTCCTTATCGGAGGCTTCACCAACAGCCAACGTTCTTATCCCACGTCGTGATAGTTCCGACGTCTGTTCAAAAGGTTATGTTGGGACCTCTACCGTTGGCCCTAGTCTTGATGGTCAGGATTCAAATAAACCCCGGCTGAACTATCAAGCGATAGTCTCGCCAATGCCATTGCTACTGGACAGCGTTGCAGGCAGCGTAGCCTCGGTTCCAGCCTACCTCTACGAGGAAGACGCAGCGGCAGAATCATCATCAACGCACTCCTCTATCTCCTACTCCAGAAAACCCACAACAAGTGAGGTATCCATTGAAAACCCGAAGTTGGATGGCTATTCCTCGAATGAAGACCAATTTGTCTATAATAACTTTGGCGCCTCTCTTATAACGCCTCCGCAAGCGCCCAATCCTTTGTCTGACAAAGATGCGCTGAATCCGGTCAGTGGAAAACTAGCCATGGGAAACTCTTTGGTGATTAAAGCCAAGAAAGATTGTGGTCTAATTGACGTTGGACATGTAAGCCCATTTACGGTGACGAACTCAACGACCTCTGACTTATGGGAACAAGCACCGGATTCTCTGTTGGGCCCTTCGCCGCCAGTTCGCTGGCGTGTGCTAGGTGACTCTTTCCTGATTGATGAGGAAAAAATAAGTTCTGTATGATTATAAATATATATATATATATGTATATACATTGATTGAGGCAGATTGCATATGCTATTGCAAATAGTAGGCTACAATGTTCTGTATACTTGTGCTCAAAAGAAAAAATGATTCCGGCGATCCCAACATTTTTAAGCTACTGATACGGATGAGAAATATTTATAATGCCTTCATGCATTAAGTGATTGCCAATGTGTGTATTTGGTGTGTGCTCCTTTCACTTTTACTTCGCCTTTGAAAACCTGAATTATGTGTATTTATTCCAAAGATTTCTATGACCTCATCTTCTCCTTTTCTTCTTTGGAAGCTGAACTAAATATTACGCATCAGGGTTTACATTCCATCTTTCACCACAATGGTGGTTGGAAGTTCTGGTGTGAAAATGTCGACAAATGTCTATAAAATGAGTTGCTTTAGAAACCTTTTGATCCTCTTTTAACAATGGGCAGATAAAAAGGATCTAAACGGCAATCGCCGCCACTCGTGTTCAATATTTTCGACTATTAGTAGAAGAGTATTTTCATTTTTTAGACACACTACTGCAACTCAATAAAGCAACCATAAAATTCGTGGTAATTTGGAAAATCGGAACATCAAATGGACTTAAATTCTGCCAGCAATTTTACCTCCCGTTTGTCTCTAGCGATCCCTCTTAAGCACGTCTCTAATTGTTTACTTCCTGCTTCAATTTTGGCAAAAGTTACGACGTTGAACGTCGTCCGACCGACTTACCTAACCATTTTAAAACAACACAACTCCTGGCAAAATTTTGAACTTGCAGTGCCATAAAGTGCTACTCGAAATTTCAAAACGTGTTTTCAAACAGAAAGGATTACTTAGACGGTGTCGTAATACCGATTATTATGCAGCATCATTCCAAGATATTTCAATTACGCTGTGATGCCGGTACCTGAAAGCGTTTCTTGTCAGTCGGCTGCACAAACCATACGCTGTAAGCAATGACCGTCACTGTAGTGTAAATTTTTCTCCCTGTCACTCGGTAACATCATCAATCGAAATGTGTTTTAGTGAAAACATACAAAAAATTTCCATTGTATTTATTTGGTGGCATATTACATCTTCAATTTTTATATAAAAATAAATGACTGGCATCAGTTTTGATAACATTCTTCATTGTGAGGTTTTATAAGACCGTGAAATATCCATTCAAATGGCATCGCGCCAGCACTTATCCATTAAAAATACTTGAGTCCTGTATGGTATCTCCTTTACAGTATAAATAAACAAATGACTTCACTTAGGAGAAAAGTTTACATCACGTACTTTGGGAACTTTAAATACAAATGCAACTTTCGGTTGCGTTTAAAATTATGCGGAAGTAAAAAAGGTTTCAAAGCCCGGTTATGGCGTTTTGCATGTATGGGCTGTAATTTATTACCACATGACTGAACCCAATGATATTTTATGCATGCTTTTTGAATATAGTTTTGAAATTAAAATAGTATTTTGAATCAATGAAAAGAAATTATGGTTACAGAGGGCTATTTTTGCAAAAAAATGAGCCATTGGATGACCGAAAGGGGCCTCTTCTAAAAGCCTGCATCCAGGTCTGTTGTGATCAAGCGGTGAGAATGTGGATATTCTGAGCGTTACCATAATCAGGGCTAATCCTATTTTGGAAGGAGAAGGCGGAAGGCACCAGAATGAGGGGTCTATTGTGCACAGAACCCGGAGTTGTCCTCTCAGGCGACAGTGGCCACTGGCGAAGCCAGAGCTGGTGTTGACTGTGCCCAGTCATGCCTGAGAGTCCCTGAGTTAGTGGTGGCAGCTGCTTTTGTAGGCTCGTGGGCCAAGCTCAAGTGTTGTCCAGTCAGCGTGTGTCGCATTTGCCGAGGGGTGGTGTTCCAATGGCTTGTTTTGCTGGTTGCAGGGGGTGGCGCGTTCAAGTGGCCGCATGGGCAGCTGCGACTGCGCGAACGCAGGTATGCCGAGCTGTTGGTCGTGTGACTTCAGGTCAGCTCGTCTGGGACGGCTCGCTGCAAGGGTTAAATGTCCTTGAGGCAGCGAGGTCTTGAACAATGACGCCAGACCAGTCAGGATGACTGGTCGCCACAGATCTCATTGAAATATACTAAGATTGATTTGCATGATAATTTGTAATACGGCCCGTCCATATAATCATTTATCCGGATTGTTAATTAATATTTCGTGAGGTAAGCCATTTATTGTACCGCGGCAGATAAATCTCAGGAGTAATACGTGAATGGACCAGTTGGTCGTTTTGGAAAATCGGAAATGCTTTTTCAAAAGAAAGCTCCA